TTTGCACCATTTCTACTCAAAAGCAAATTCAAACCTGCCATCACCACCAGACCTCCCTGACACCTCCCACAGAGGAAACCTCTCTTTACAGCCAGCTTTCATTGCTACGTCCTGGGAACACTGTTTGCGTTCCCTTTGCTGCTGCTGCTTTCTCCCCAGTTTGTGCTTCTCTTTTTTCACCACCCACCAAGGCCATGAAGCTGCAGGAAATGGGGGTGGCTTGGTTGAAGGCAAGAAAAATCACGTGAGATCACGGTCTACAGAGGAGAGGCTCTGCAATGGGTCAAAGAGCTTGCTCTTTGGCTCCGCGAGCTGCTTGAGATCTCCTGCCTGCCTGGCATGGAGATAAGACATCTTGAGGGAGAAGGGATGGAAAAGGGGATTGTGCTGTCCTCTGGGGAGTGCAAGAAGAGCAAGAGGCCACGGGGATGTGGGAACTGCTTCCCTGTGGATGATCAGCTGGGCTGGCTGAAGGACCTCAGTGGTCCAGGGGACACGGTTGGTCCCACTCAGGCTCCCAGTGCTGCAGAACCTGCGGACGTGGCTGTAGGAGGGAGGGACTGAGGGGGCTGGGATGGAAGGGCCCAGCCCTGTGATTTCAGTTCTGGGTTTTGCAAGGGGAGAGCTTTGGAAAGCTGAAGACAAAAATAAGGAAGCGGTGGAGGTAGGATGGGGCTGGAGGGATTTGTATGAAGCTCTAAGTCCTCCATGGGTGCTCTGAGGATCTCTGGTCTTTCTCATCAAAGGACATCCCAAGACACCAACTCTACCAGGCTGGCTAGAGCTGTGCAGGGCATCTGGCTCCCGTGGGGCACCCTGAGCTCAGTGGGGATGGTAGGTCCCATCTCCTAACATCCTCCTGGTCATTGTATGACCAAGGGTATGTGGCTGGAAGATCCCTCCCCATCACCCTCACATCCTGTGGAAGCCAAAGTCAGGAAAGGCCTGTTTCCAGGTGGATGCAGCATCTGTGGGCCCTGGGAGAGGTAGCCGAGCTTAGGGATCATGTCCCTGCTGAGCAGCACCAAGGCACTGGGGAGCCACAGCCCTTTGGCTTATGCTGAAGATGCTCTAAACCCAGGGTCATTCTCCCTTTTCCCCTGGCCACAGCCTCAGCACAAGCCCTCCAGAACCCGTATCCCACTCCCACACAGCCCCCCAACACAGGTAGTGGAGAAGTCCTTAACGGCTGGTGAGGTTGGGATGGGACAGCTGTTGCCGCATGCGATTAAACTGTCTCTTCATCATCTTGAGAGCTGGGAGGAGACCACGAGAACCACTCTGCTTGGCTGTACCCACTCAGCACCCCTCGGTGACACTTGGCATTGGATGCTGTAGCCTCTTGGCTCCCTGGAGCCAGCGCGCCCCTTGCTTTTCCCTGAGGACTCTCCCTCCTCACTCCTCTCCTTCCTCCTTCCCCTGTTCTACCTTTTTCCGTTCTCCCAGCTGCTCCCCTCCTTCGCCCCTCCCTGGGGATGCCCTGCCTGCTTTCTCTTCCCCTCCCTTGGACTCCCTTCTCTTGCTCCCTCTCTTTTTCTGAGCTTCCTTCCTCCTCTGTCCGCCCCTCCACTGCAGATCAGGTAAGAGCAGTTCAGGGCTCCTGCTCCGCACTGTGTTCCTGTCACCACCCCACAAGTATAAATAACTTCAGCCCAGCCTTAAAGGGGAAATATTACAGCAAGCACGTAACAAGGCAGGACAAGCACATGCTGCTGCCGAGACTGAGCAAAGTGCCCACGCTCTGTTTCTTGCTCTCTGTCTCAACTGCGGTGTTTTTTTTTCCCCCCTTGCCTTGCCCACCACCAGCTGCACTGCAGGGCAACCCATGGCCATGCCAGCTGGCTGTGCAGTGCCTACAGGGGTGCCTGGTATACACCCTGCCCTAGCTGGTCACCCAGACTCCGCCAACGTAGAGTTGGGTCCCCTTGGGCACCTCTCCATCCTCATGGGTGCAAACTCCATCCTTTTCCCCCTGCGTCATATCCCTCTTGTTGTGCCAAAAGCAGGAGGATTAGAGGCAAAGCTACACCTGCAGCCCCTTCTGCACACTCCACCCTGCTTTCCCTCCCTGCTGTCGCAGAGGCTCTATCCCGAGTCACCAAAAAGCTGTGGGCCAAGGGCTGGTGCCCTGGGGAGGCCCTGTTCCTCCCAACACCCTCATCACCAGCAGAGCTCCTCCGAGCAGGGCGGCTTGGCCAAACGCAGAGCAGCAGCGCCCACAAACAGTTGTACGGAGACCACAAACTCCCGGTTCCCAGGCTTAGGTGCTGCTTTGTCTCTGCAGAGCTGCACCAGGGCTCAGCTTTTTTGTTCTAAAAAGGCCCCTGCTTCCCACACCACCACCACCTTTGCTGGTGGCTGCACGACATTTGAACCTCGCCTTATCTCTGGCTACCTGCAGCTGGGACTTTCCTCCTTCTGCACTAATAAAGAACAGAGATGGTTGTTGGCCAGGCTATGCGGCTGGCAAAGGAACTAGCACCCAAGCCCAGATGGGAAGCTTGTGAGCAGATGAGACAAACAGCAAAAGAGACAGGAGGGCCACTCCACCTGCGCCCAAAGAGCAATAATTTGGGGGCTGCTGGACTCTGCTCCTTGTGAGTCTCTAGTGAGCTCACAGGAAAGTGGTGCTGGCAGCTGTTTTCAAGCAGGGTCCAGGCGAGGCAGCACTGCTTTCCCTGGCTGAAACACCAGGTTGCTCTAAACTTGTGACCAAGCACATCTCATCCCCCAGCCACAAGGCCTGGGGCTGCTCCTAACAGGCATCGTGACGTCTGAGAGCAGGTGAGGACATCAAGAGCTTATTGCAAAGCTGCAGAATTGCTCCCTCCAGACTCTAGCTGGTTGCACCAGCCAAGCTGTGGTCTCTTTCCCCCCACGCAGTGCGCAAGACTTGCTCCCAGCCCCGCTGGCTGCTTGCCAGAGCAGATCCCCCTCTTTGCACCCCTGCAATAAAACCACCCTGAGGAGCCGCTTCCGAGAGGCAGCCCTGGAGGAAGAGGAGGAAGTGCGGTTACAAGCAGTGGTGAAGCTGTAAACTGCTGAGTCGGGCACAGCCAGCTCCCCACAGGCTGCGGGACCCCTGCCCACCGCCTCACCCCGGGGAGGGGAGGGAAACAGGCAGCACACAGCTCACAGCAACTCTGCTCTCAAACAGGAATTGAGAGCAGCTGGGGGACTTCCACCATTCCCTCTCAGATCATGGGAGCAGGGAGATCACGGTGGCAAGGCATCGAGTGTCTGGTGGCTGTTACAGGATTGCAGGGGCAGTGTTTGCACCTTGCAGGGTGAAAACAGCTCCTCGAGGGTAAGGGGAAAACTTATTCCTTGAATCGAAAGGCAGAGGGACATGATCAGGAAAGAACTCTTTATTTCCCATAAATACAGCAGATTCTCCGCGCCGGGCGTTTCGTTTTAAATCTTTGTTTTTCTTCCATTTACAGAACTTTGCACTGAAAATATATACAAGTCTGTTCAAGAACCAAACAAGATCTGCAAAGAAAACCCATACAAAACCCTGAAAAGAGACCAGAAAGGGAAGTAAGACACAGCAGAACCCCAGCATGAAGACCTTGCTTCCCCCTCTCCTCTACTGCTTGCTGCACCCAGCTCCCAGACACCTCACCTTCACTGTCCCTGCTCCAAGAGTGCAAAGCACCCCCCTCACCTCCTTCTACCTCTGGCAAGCTGATGCAGGGTCTAGCTTGATCCTGCTCTTAAGACCAGGCCCTCTTAAAACCAGTTTAGGAATGGGAAACAGCTCCCGTGGTCGCAAGTCCTATGGGAATAGGGATCACTCAGGACATGCCTCCCCTCCCTGGTCTCCCCCGTGCCTGCAGATCCCCGCTCTTGTGTCACAGTGATCGGGCGGCTGGGACGA